TCCACCGCAACACACGAAGGGCACCGCGGGACGGATCCGGCGTTCTGCCGGCACCTGCTCTAATTAGGTCAACCTCTACCTGGATCTGATGGGACCCGGAGAATCACACGGCCCGCTGGGGAGAAACGGGACACGCTTCCCGCTCGTGGGAGCGCACCGTTGCTAATATCATGAATCTGAAAACACCAGGTTTCTCGGCAGAATATCACAGACTTTCAACTTTGTTGGAGAACTGAGCCGGACAGAACTCTGCTCTCTGCAAAGCACAGAGGCAAAACTGTAATGTTGTGGAAACTTATTAAACTTGTGGACCCGCTGCATTGATGGATGGCTCCAGACACCTCGAGCATTCAAAAGACAAGAAAGACTGATGGGTGAGCCGCTAATGGCCTTAAACCTGCACTCAGAGGTGGATGGATACGGCCCCCCGCCGCGCCAGAGGAAGAGCTCTACAAACGCCTGGTGTCAGACGCTTCATATAGAGACGGGAAATGAACGTCTCTAATGGATGATGGAGGAAAAGGTGCAGAAAAAGCACCGATCCGGTTCCTTTAACACGCAGATCACGAAAATTCTGTCAGGAACATTTCCATAGCGAAAGGCCAGGAGAGAGCGGCACAAAAATGCTAAGAGGTTGTAAGAGCGAGCGTGGAGGGCCTTTATGCATGAATCCGGCGGGATGGGCTCTCTGATGATACAGTCAAGAGAGATGCAGCGTATGCTGCCTTTACCAAATGACAGCTCTAATGGCGACCGCGTCTATTACGCTTTGTAAGAAAGCTGCGAGTTGCCATTCACGGCCCTCGGCTCGATTCGGGTCAGGCCATTACCGCAGACAGCTTAATGTCTCAGACTGCACAACTGCTCTTAACACAACACCGATGAAAGACGACGCTCTCAATCAGGGGCGGACGAGTTCAAAGCCGCCGTACACTTCAATCGATTGAATAACATGGTAAACGTGGTTCAAAGCAACAGATTCTACACGCCACTGCTTCTGTGTACAGATCCTGTCCGATATACATCACAGACGAAGATAAAACCGATGCATCCTGAAGACGCCCACTAGAATCTTAGCAAACACCTGTAAAATAGGTGCTACTAATGATTATTTTGATAATCGAGTAATCTGTCGATTACGTCTTTGCTTAATCTGATTTAAAAAAGCCAAATATTATTTTAAGTATTTTATTTAAAAAATAAAACCTATTACATCCTCCACAGTGTTGTCTTCCAAACATCGTGCAAACCCAAGAATGAATCTATGTAGACTTTATGCTATTTATTATAATATGTGCAATAAAGGGTTTAAATGTTAACATTAAAACCATTGCCAGCATAATAAAGTCAAACAAAAGCACAGATTAAACGTACACATTCACTGGATATTGTGATTATATTACATTTGTACACCATTACAACAGTCACTTTACATTTACTGCTCTCATCAAAATAAATGAGTCACGTTAACACCCAACAAAACCCATATTTAACATGGCAAAGTCAGATTTATCGTTTGTGCCAGTGTTCGTCTATGTTACAGACAAGGATATGATCACATCTGCCAAAGCACCATGTGTATGAGTTTGTCTGAAGCATCTTCATATTGAGAATAACCTGCTGCAGCTCACTGTGTCCTCCGCTATATTTCAGATGCATATTTATCTTCAATAATTTTCATTATCAATTACCATAAATCGCACCTGACTAGAAGGTCTGTCACACTGTCTATTACATTCCAATAAAAATTTAATGTTTACAAACATTGTGAAAAATACAAGTATAAAAGAAACGTAAATTATAGTGCCATTCATTATGAACAACAAGCCTAGACACATTTTTTCATGTGGGAAATGTGCTTTACTAATAAACCTGTGTTGACGCATCTTTCTCATTTGGCATCAATGTTTTGCGTGCTTGATGTTAACTGCATTATAAAAGTCGCTTTGGAATATACTTATACTGTAAATCCCAGCATGTTTCCGATGATAAAAACCTGACTTATATTATAGAAAATACGGAACTTGTTGCAGTTTAAACCACCAACGCACCAGGCATGAAACATCAGTGTTGAACATCTTGAGCATAATGGGGTGAATTCTGCAAAGCCAAGCCACGATTTCTTCTGTAAATGTAAAATCAAACTGTAATCTCATTCCCACATGCCTGCTGAATGTAACCTGCACCAGGAACACATTTCTTTAGCACGCAGACATGAAAATAACTAGGGTTGCAAAGGGGTGGAACATTTCCAGAAACTTTCCAAAAATCCCTGGAATATTCCAAAAAAATCCTGGAATGTTTCCGAAATTTACTGGAAATGTTCCACCTTTTTGCAACCCTAAAAATAACATGAAAACACAATACTCCTGAAATACACCTCAGCTAATTGACACACTAATTTGTTTTGGAATTAATGCCGTTTTTAACTTATTTGAAAGGCATCAGTGAATGTTTCTGGACAAATACCTGGCTTGAAAGTAGACAGTCTGCTGCTTGTTTTGAGACTGACTTCCAGCATTGGCTCTCGTGGTCGCACTGAACACTCACCTGCTGATTAAACTGCTCTGAGGTGTGTGATGAAGGGCGGTGGATCTCAGGTGAGTCCGGCCTGCACTACAGTCCATGTGTTCAGCAGAGCTCATACATCACCGGCACACTATTAATATCAGCCGCTGGCAGATACAGGCCATAGAAGAACACGCCAACAATACTGCTGATAAGAGCACTTATAATGCCGTAAGACAGCGCAACACTATCACACACACATGCATGCATCTAGACAGAAAACTCACTTTCCTCTCTCTGACCCCAACAAGTGCTAATTCTGATTTCAAGCTAAATGCACACAGCAGCTGCAAACATCACTGGTGTGTTTGAGAGCAGCTTTGAGGCCGATGCGTTCACTACTACTCCACTATTAAGTGCACTTGACAGCTACAGCCCTACGAATCCTCCCTTATTCAACACACCTGGTTCAACTCATCCAGTCATTACAAAATAAACACAGTGAGTCTTCTGTTTTAACAACATGATCTCAGATCAGGCCTGTGATTTAAAGTGAGTGAATTACTGTATCTTTTACCAAAATACACAATAAATAAGTGTATATCAATATGCCAAATTACAGATGAACTCAGGTCACGCTAGTCTCTCTAATAAACAGATCGGCAGCACCAGAAAATACTACAAACTGTGATCTAGCCATTTAAAAGATTCAGAATAAGCAGAATAACTGGATATAAAAAGTAATTTCCCAATAAAGCCTGCTGTATCATATTTAATATGCACATTTTCTAAGGCCTCCAAATGATTGACATGATCAAACTTTGCTGTTAAATCTGCTTCACACTCAATCTCCTCATGTCTTCTGTCATCCTGATAGTTTAGAGAGTTTTATCCAGTAAAAGCTCTTTTAGTGTAATCGTACAAACGCCCAGCTTCAGCTGGAGCTTCTCGTGTCAAATCTTGACTGATTTTGATCAAGTAAAGGTCAGAATAACTGCAGTAATATCTCCAGATGAACACTTACTGGACTGAAGCAGCTCAGCTTTACTTGATTCTCCATCAATCATGTTTTAGAGTCTCAAATCTGATCCTCAGGATCTTTTGAGGAGCGTTTGTTTCCAGAAGCTTTACTTTCACTGTTCCTCAGCGGAGGAATGATCTTCACAAGCCTCCAGAACATCTCACATCTTCTGAGGAGCCTTTATTTCTTCAGCTCGCAATCACTGCATTATATGTTTGGAGCATTTCACTCTCATCTTATATTACTGGAGATATAGAGCCACGACTGATATTTAGATCATTTTATGTCAGTATCTGCTGTACTGTTAGAAAGATCTCATTGATTTACATTACGAGCATCATAATTTCATTATATAAATATCAGCATCTGCAGCAAATTCATATTTTTGCTCAGTTTGAATAATATTGAGCTTCATATTCTCACTAGATCAGACTATATGAGCCATAAAAGCCTGATGAATGTGATACTCGACAAAAAACACATAAGCAAAGTTATTATTAGATTTTCTTTTATATTTTGTCTAAAGTTCCAATAAACTGTTCAATTTCAAAACCAGCTTTTTTGGACTATTATTGCATATGTCACGCTTTACAGGGTTAAAGATGCAAATGGTGTAGTTGCTCTTATCAGAAATGTTTCAAAACACTTTTTTCTCAATATGGGGGTCAAGAGACAATCTAGCAAAATCACACACTGATGATCAGCGAACGTCTGATTTGCACACTTTGTGCACTATTTACACTACAACTCCACTGGTCTCTAATACTGTACATTCTATTGACTGCACATGTGTAAATGTATGAGTGTGTATTACAAACAGGCTGAAACTTTGCAAACTTGCACCTGTGACCGAATGTGACAGCTCTCCATTACATACATGTGTCATACTCATACATGACCATATAAACACACACTGCCAACAGTTACTGTAAACTATCAGCTGTTTATAAACAACTGTGGCTAAACAGAACTCATATGTACACTTCTCAGTGTAGATGAAGAGTTGTGAGCTCCTGTCAGCAGCGTTTTCATCTCTGACTGACAACAGTTAGCATGCTAGCTCTGCTGCTAACAGACTGTCAATAATAACACAGTCTTTCACAGCGGCTGTGGTAAACCTTTATGAGGCCGACATGTAATCTCAAAGTGAAGTCTATTAATTCAGATCATTAAATATCCAAAGTCGTTATATTCCTGTGGCATGTCGATCGTTTAGGCCTCATCTGTGGAGCTCAGTCACAGAAACCGGAGCCGGATTCAATGAAAGACACACGGCGCATTTATTCACAGAGGCTGTGAAACCAAAACACCAACTATTCGGACTATATACTGCACTAGTACAGTCATCTTATGTGTTTAAACCAGCTGTCTGAGGACTAACCAGCTAATCCAGCTACCGCGTTAGCAGACGCGCTAATGAGCCGCTCGTGTCACAATCTCAACATAACAACAAGTACAGACATATTCTTACCTGTTCCGTTACAGTGTGTCGTTTGTGGACGGTAACGCTTATATTTTGGGAGTGTTTGTTGTCATTCAGTGAGGAAACATTTGGGTTCCCGCTGAGAGAACGACCGCTGAAGAGAGCGGCGTGGAACGCTTTGATGGACAGCTCGGTTGGGCCAATCACAGCAGTCTATTTGCGATCGCGAGCCAATCGCTTCACAGCATCGACATGAGAGGCGGGTGTTAAAGACAAGAGCTCTATAAATACCAGCGGGAGCTGCGAAAGAGGCGCACATGAGTGGAGTTTGATGTGTTCATGGTTATGCCGATATATGTGATTTCCCAACGCTTTCTCACGGCCAATTCGTGCGTTTTTTTTATTGATGCTTAAACAACAAACACATAACAAAAGTACCAAGGGTGTACAAAGAAAAATAGAAAAAATAAATATTAACTATGCATGTATGTTTTTGATTTCTCTTTTTATCACTCCATACACCCGAAAATACTGTCAACAGACAGAAAGCAGATGTTTTCAGGAGTAAAACGTTGTATAAATCAGTGTGAGGGAAATATGTACAAACCTACAGAATATAGAGAGGAATAAATCTGTAAAGTCTGGTGTTTGTAAGAGAAAAACTCTTTATGGATTGGAATTGAAATCTACAGATGCAAATAGATAAAGTGCAATAAAATAAACACCTATATGTGTGTTATATTACGAAACATGTTGAACATGTTTTTTGGTCAACTGACCAGTGCATGAAAAAATATTTCTTGCCTGTAATGTAATGTTCATAATTTAATGGATTATTAATTTATGCATTACTGCATGCATAATTTTTCCAAATTTATATTTATGCATTTTATCCAAATAATTCAATGGATTTTAAAAATGCACGTAAAAGTTAACAATCTAAATTCATCCTTCGTTTAAAAAAAATAATGTTATGAATTATTAAATACTAATTATGATATTGTTGGCTCTGGATAGCGCAGCTTGAGAATAAAATGATTATTATTCACAAGATGCTTTGTCTTTGATAGGTTGAAGCCATATTGCCAGTGCTTTGATTCAATATGTTTAAAATGATTAATCTGCATTTGAATTGAAAACTTCAGACATTTAATTGTTAGCCGACTCATTAATAATAAGCTATTAATGAACAGGGCCTGTGTTTTTCGCTCACTGTTGCTCCAGATCAAGCTGTAAGACCCTCTGAAAAAGATATTTGAGCAACTTAGTCATTGATTATTTTGTCCTCCATCCATTTGCTCCATTTACAGGTACATCTTCAGATCAGAACAGCACTAAAGACTGCAGCCTTGATCTGTGGAAATGCTTTCAGAGTCTTTTCTCCCGTCGGTTCGGCCCCGACCGCAGCGAAGAGCACTTCCAGACGACCCCGTGACCTCCTGCTTTTGTCCCTCTGCAGGCACAGCAAAGAAAGCTGTAATCCAGCGAGGCCAGCCTCTGCTTCTCTCTAAATTGACTGACACCTTTGAGAAGTCACTTGCTGACGTGCATGCTCCTGTGAAGAGACGCTGTTGGTTTTATATAACGCTGTGTGGGAGGCCGGTGACGAGCCCATCCACTGCATACGGCTCTGCTGGGTGATGTGTGGGCAGTGCTTTTAACAAATGCATACTGGTTCACACTCAGGTTATGGGGGAGTACAGGAATGAAATTATGTAAATACCCTCCAAAGTAGTGACACACACACACACACACACACACACACACACCAACGGATACGGATGTGTGTGCTCGAACGGAGCTCAAAATATCTATTGTGTATTTGCTGATTATTTGTGTGTGGGTCTGCTCTTTATCTGGAATGGCAAATTCAGAAAATGTAGCTGAATTTATAACTGAGATCAAATAAGAGGGTTGTTCAGACAGCAACACTCCAGTGGATTTCCAGAGTGTCAGCTATTAGAGAGAAAAGCAGCTCCCATTAAACCCAATCGCTGATCACACGAACACAGTTATCAGCTGTGCTTTCTCTGATCTAATCAATCATAATCCACTGCTGCCGCACTTTAGCTATAGATTACCTACTTGTGTTCTGTTGTGCTCAAACACTGGCTTCAGTTTCTGTGTCGCGGCTCCAATTGACCCACATTGGTTTCCGTGCAATTTGGCAAAAATTGGCACTATAAAAAGATACAAGTTTACAAGCTTGTCAGAGACTACAAATATAAAATATGAGAGAAATTGAATGATGTCCATCTGTTTGTATTGTGTTAGGGTTCAATTTGACCCACATATTTTATTGTTAAAATTTGCTGCACAGACACAAAATAAAGATTTTGATGTTTTTTGTCATGACTTCTTGTATTGACTACTTGCACACCAAATAGTTAGTATAAATAGTATCTTACATTATTTGTACTGAATGTACTGTAAATAGTATGCATTGCTATTTGTACTTGCTGTGTGTTTCTTCAGTGTGTTTTCTCAAACCCTTGTGAGGGTGAAATGAGTTTCTCACGCTTCTGTTCAGTGCTGAAACTGTCTAGTAATTCAGATCCAAAAAACTAACAACCAAAAACAACTTTTGACAGATTTTTGTGACTGTGAAACTCAACTTGGTGAAGAAACAGTGAATTTTCCTGGGATGATTTAGAGTCAACTTTGAGACGTGCATTTCATACGTTATTGTGTATTTCATATTTTAGTTTTTTAATCTGATTCTTTAGTGTTTTTAAAAGTCTTGATTTTTGCAAATTGCATAGAAACCTATAGGGGTCAGTGGGGTAGTCTATATGACCCCAACACAAAAGTTGTTGTACAGCGTTTACAAAACACATCTATGTGTTCAAACTTTACATGCACGCTCATGACCCAAAATGAGAAATATTCACCAAATTTCAAGAAGAAATAAACAGTTTAACCAGTATTTCGAGCAGTTTGAATATCGAGTGTTGGTCAAACTGATCCCAACACAACAAAACTGTCAGTTTTAGCTTGTGATTGTCTGTATTTATTGTCCATATCTACTGTTGTGTTTTCAGTCCTCGTGACTGTCTGCTACATGTGTCACTGCTGTTTCCTGAAGAAAGTGCTGTTTTTATCCATTACCATGCAACAATAAATTTGACTTTGATGTCAGGTGTAACCCAATAGTTGTGAGCACATGAAGAAATATATATTATAAACAGAAATGTGTATGATTGGTCAATCCAGTGTTCCAGTAATGTCAATGTCAGATTTATTCATAAAGCACCAATAAAAACAACCATTGCTAACCAGTGTTGCTGTACATTAAAATATAAAACAAAGTAGCTGTTCAATGCACAGCATTATTGGCATGTATTGCCATTGGTGGCTCCATTAAGAACCTTTAACATCCACGATGTTCTTTATAGTGGTAAAAGTTTCTTCAGATTAATAAAAAATGGTTCTTTTAAGAACTGATCACTGAAAGGTTCTTTGGGGAACCCAAAATGGTTCTTCTATGGCACTGCATTGAAAACCTCCTTTTGGAACCTTTATTTTTAAGAGTGCAAAATAATGTTTCCATCAAAATATTTGTGTCTTTCTACACCCTTATTATAATAAAGTAGCATTTAATCCCCGGCACTTGTGTTTCAACATGAATTTAAGGCAAGAAAATGTATTCAGAGGTGCTGAAATCACCCGTTTCTTTAGTCAAACAGTCTGTAAATGTAAAAGCTGTGAATGATTCAGTGTGAGGATCTCTTCCTCGTGTCACGGCCTGCTCGATCCTCTACAGAGCGCGTCAGCATCAGAATGATAATTCTGGTTATGCCTTGCATTCAACCGCTTGAACAGCAGCCACTGAAGAAAGCAGAACAATACAGCCGTCAGCAGAAGGTGTCAGCGCTGGGCTTATCTCACCGGGACACAGCCAAAGCCGGTCCAGACGGCCGCGGGTGCGCCGTTATTCCCCCTGATCCTCCAATGACAGCGACAGCTCCCACATCGAGATGATCCCGGACTTTCTGTTCTGATATATGATCAGCTCTGGAGGCTCGACTGTGTGTGCGGAGATGCAGACGCTCCCCTCCAGACAGGTTATTTATCTGTAAATTGATCGGCAGGACTTCGAGGGAGGAGGCCACCGCTTGTGTCCTGCTGAAATTGGGAGGGCAGCTTGAGCTCACTCACATTCAGCACAGCTTTAGAGCTTCATAATGGAGCAATCTAGCTCCCCTCGCGGTGCCCCAGATGGCTTTTCCCTGAATTATTCATCCTGCAAAAAAAAATCCCTAGTTTATTGCTCCCCTGCAGCCTTATTTTACTGGGCAGTTGACCTGTGCCATTCATATTCATTTGGCCGTGCTGCTGGATCTCTGTGCCTCGGGGGGTTTGTCTTCACACTGGCCTGAGCGCTTATATCAGATTTCTGAGACGTTTCATTCAGGACTGAGACGCACACTCACTCCAGCGGTGGAAATGAGAGTAAAGATTTGTGGATTCCTGCTCCTGCTGCACTCTTTACACATGTAATCGCTGCAGGATATATCTACTCACACTGCGGCCATAACTTACAGACTCCATAGATGTGGACGCATGCAGAGACATGAGAACGGATCAGACGAGCACGGTAAATGTGGAAATGTGCAGAAGCTACTCAGATCTACAGTCAAGTAAAGGCTCTTCATTGGCATTGATGGGTCTATTGAAAACCTTTAACATCCATAGAACCTTTCCATTGCATTAAAGGTACTTTATAGTGGAAAGAGATCCTTTAGGTGTTCTTCACGCTAATTAAAAATGGTTCTTTTGAGAACTGTTCACTGAAAGGTTCTTGGGGAACCAAATCTGTTTTCAATGGTTTTCATCATGCGATCACGGTGAAAACCCACTTTTGGAACCTTTTCCAAATTTTTATTTTGGAGTATTTTTTTTTACATTTCTGCACTTTAGAAAGCAGCTAACTACACTAAAGCCATAAAGAGGCAAAAAAATTTTAAATAAGACAATTATCAGATAATATACCATTATTAAAAAGAGAAGTATTTATCATTACCAGTGTTGGGGAAAGTTACTTTTAAAAGTAATGCGTCTCTTGTAAATTAAAAAGTAATGCGTTACTTTACTAGTTACTTGCAAAAAGTAATCTGATTACGCAACTCGCGTTACTTGTAATGCGTTACCCCCAACACTGATCGTTACACTAACAGAAGTAATGACACGTCATTAAAAATGAATTAAAAACTTGAAAAAATGAATTAAAAGGAATAAAAACAGGCTGAAAAC